AAACAATCTGGTATCATAAAAAGAAAACTGGGTTTCTATGGGAAAAATTTTAGTCTCCATTTTGTTATTTCACTTCTCTCAGCTTTGTTTCTCTCCTGTCTGATCTCACAGAAAGCAGAAGCTGTGTCTCATTTATCTTTGTATTCTCTGCCCTAGATAGTGTCTGGCTTATAATAGCTAATATTTAATACTAGGAAAACGCTACTTTTTTCCTTTTAAGATGTAGTAAGATAGAAATAAAACTTACCGTTTTAACTGTCTTCAAGTGCACAATTCAAGTGCATTTAGGTACATTAATGATGTTTTGTAACCATTACCACTATCTACTTGTAGAACATTTTCCTCAGTACAAAGGGACGCTGTAAGCACTAATCAATAATTTCCCATTTTCCTCTCTCCTAGGTCCCAGAATCCTTATTATTTCTGTCTCTATGTCTCTGTCTATTCTAAACACCTTGTATTTGTAAAAACACATTTGGCATTTCTAAAGCTGAGAGAATTGAAGGATTCTATGGGGGAACTATGTAACAATTAAGAAAATGTCCAAAGAAGATACCAAAAAATACACAGTCATTGTACCAAATGTAACTGGTCAACATTAAGACATCTAGTAAGTAGTGTATGATTAAGATCCTAAGGTATGAAAGAAGAAAAGTCAAGTGCACTGAACGTATTGGCAAAAACATAAGGTCCTTGCACACCCATGTTTATTGCAGCTTTGTTCACAATAGCAGAGTTGGAAACAACCCAAGTGCCCACCAACAAATGAATAGATAGAGAAGTTGTGATATATTCACACAATGGAATACTATGCTGCATTGAAAAAAAGGAACTCATGCAATATTATTCAAAATGGGTGACCTTGGAGGACATTATGCTGAGTGAAGTATCTCAGTCACAAAAGGACAAATAATTGCATAGGGCCACTGTTGTAAACGGGACTGACATTGGGGTTGAGGGAAGACTGAGAAAGAGGGGATAAATAATGTATACTGCATTGAAACAGATGAGGGAGAGAACTGTTTAAAAGGGAACTATGATTAGGTATTATTGTCATGACAGGAGTCCAGAGTGAAGGCTGCACAGTGGAGTGGACTTGGGAGAAGTGATTGTACAACTATGAAAGAATTTTTCTTTTACTTTTCAAAGACAAGAGCAAATTGGGGGCAACAGGATGGGCAGGGAGAAAAGTTCAACAGTGAATGAATGGAAACTCTAAGTCTCTGTAAACGTAATTAAAATTTTAATTAAAAAAATAAGGTCCTAGGAACTTACGGAATACCAACTGAGGTATTTCAACTAACAGGGGTAGTTGTGGACATGCTCACTAGTCTATGCCAAGAAATCTAGAAGACGGCTACCTGACCAACTGACTGGTTAAGATCCATAATTGTTCCCACCAAAAAAAAAAAAAGATGATTCAGCAGACTGGAAATTATTGAACAGTATCATTACTATCACATGCAAGCAAAGGTTTACTAAACATTATCCAAAAATGACAGGAACATCAACATGGAAATGCAAGAAATGAAAACTAGATTTAGAAGCACCCATGGAATGAGTGTTATCACTGATGAAGCCAGATAGATCTTGGTTGAAGCAGAGAATGTAAAAAATTTTTTTTTACTTGTATTTTATTGACTATAAAAAGGCATTTGACTGTGTGGAGCATACAGATTGTGAGTAACATTGAGAAGAATGAGCCTCTCAGAAAACAACGTGCTCATGAGAGACCTGTACATAGACCAAGAAGCTATTCAAAGAGAACAAGGGGATACTTTTTGGGTCAAAATCATAAAAAGCATATATCCTTTCCCCTATCTATTTAATCTATATGCTGAGCAAATCAATCAACATATCTGAAGACAAATGTGGCTTCAGGAGTTGAGGACTATTCAACAGCTTATTTTAAGAAGATGACTCAACTTTCTTTGTAAAAAGTGAAGACGACTCAAAGAACTTACTAAAGATCAAAGAGCACAGCATTCTATATAGGGTATATCGCAACATCAAGAAAACAAAAATCACAATTGGACCCACGGGGAACATGATAAAATGAGAAAAGATTGAAGTTGTCAAGGATTTCATTTTACGTGGATCTACAACCAACACCCATGGAAAGAGAAGTCAAGAAACCAAAATATGTGTTGAACTGGGAAGAAGTGCTGTTAGAGGTCTCTTCACCATGGTATCTTTAATTGCTTCTCATGAATGTGAAAGCTGAACAATGAATAAGGATGACTGAAGAAAAAAAAAACCACATTGCCTTTGTATTTTGGTGTTAGTGAAGAATATTAAATATATACTGCCCCCCAAAAGGGACAAATCTGTCCTGGGGAAGTGCAGCAAGGATGTGTGCTCCTTGGAGGCAAGGGTGGTGAGACCATCTCACATACTCTGAGCATGTTGTCACAAGGGGCCAGTTACGAGGCGAAAGACATACCGCTTGGAACAGTAGAGGGTCAGTGAGAGCTACAAAGACCCTCAACATGACAGATTAACACAGTGAGTGCAACAACGGGCTTGCTGATGGCAAAGCTTGTGAGGATGGCACAGGACAAGGTTTCACTCTGCTTTTCAGAGTCACTGTGAGTTACAGTTGACTGGACAACATCAACAACTAACTACTTTGCATAAGTGGATTAGTATTATTTGTCCTTTTATATCTGGCATATTTAACTTTTCATCTTTTCAAGCCTTATCCATGTTGTGGCATGCAGCAGAGTCAATTTCTTTTTATTGTGGAATATGATTCCATTTTGTCTGCCAATTCACTGTTGATGGACATTTGGGTTGTTCCTGCCTTTTGGCTACTGTAAATAATACTGCTATGAATATTGATGTGTGTCTGCTTGAGCCCTTGCCTTTAAATCTTTGGGATAAATGCCTAGGAACAGAATTCCTGCATCAAACAGTAATTCTAAGTTCAACTTTTTGAAGAACTGCCAAACTGTTTCCACAGCAACTATACCATTTTATATTCTCACCACCAGCAACACATGAGGATTACAATTTGTTTGAATTTTCACCAATACTTGTCATTTTTCCTTCCGCCCCTTTAATAATATCTAATAATGAGAAGCCCTGGTGGCCGACCATACTACATGTTTGGCTAACTGGAAGGATGGCAGTGTGAATCCATCAGCTGATCTACACGATGATGAGGCAATCTCTTCCCATAATGATTTACAGCCTCAGAAACCCTACAGCGGTCACCATTTAGGTGAAGTGGTATCCCACTGTAGTTATGATTGGCTTCTTCCAAAACAGTAATGATGTTGAACATCTTTCACGTGCTCACTGGCCATTTTTTAATCTTCTTTGAAGAAATCATCCATGGGAGTTATTTTACCAGTTTAAAAATGGGATTATTTACTTTAAGTTTTTAAGAGTTATTTATATAATTTTTAGGATTAGTATCCAGATAACAGAGCATAGTGCATTCATTATGTGCTGTGCTGTTAATGAAGGGGTTGGCAATTTGAATCCACCCATGCCTCTGCAGGAGAAAGATGAAGAAGTCTCTTCCTGTAATGATTTATAACCTCAGAAACTTAACAGAGAAATGTTCTAAGCCAGAACTGACTCACTAGCAGGGGGCTTGGACTTTGGGGTTTGATAGTAAAGGCAACAGACTCAGAAAGGGTAAGTAACCTGCCTGAATTCACAAAGCTGTGAAAGACACAGCGAGAATTCAAGTTCAAGTTGGAATGACACAGTGGCTTCAACAATGGGCTCAAGCACAGCTGTGATTATGAGCTGACAAAGGTCTGGGGAGTCTCTATTTGTTATACACACAGTCACTATCAGTTGGGAAACACTTAACAGCACCTAACAACAGAAAACAAGTCTGTACACTGCTTCCTCTACTATTTTGTTTTTGGCTTTTCTCTGCCCATATTAAGTGACCAATTCAGTGCCGTCAAGTCAGAGCCAATTCATAGCTACGGTGGGGTTTCAGAGGCTGGAAATCACAAGGAAGGAGACCATCTTTGCCCTATGGAGCAGCTGATGGGTTGAAACCACCTGCCTTTGGGTTGGAAACAAAAATAAAATCTACTCAACACTTAAAATGTGGAGAAAAGATTAATGAGCCTCTATTGAAATAACTGCTTTTTAAATGACATTCTTTTTATTCTAACATATCTTTCAATGCTCAGCTGTGGTGTAATATTTACTTTTAGAGGTATGACTCAAATCTTTGATTCAGAAGTGGGGGTTTTTATGTGTATTTCATCGTATTCTAATTCTTGCACTATGTCTTTGTAAGTCATTATAGCCATACACCACTGAGCTGCAAAGTATGAAGATGGAAAACGAGTTTAAACTTCTCCTTTTACAAATTAGGAAATTAATACCCAAAGAGAGAAGCAATTTGACAAAGGTTACAAGGGCTAATGAGTGATTAAGCCAGGAATGGAATCAAAGGCCATCTCTCAGAATTCTAACTCCTGGACCAAGGCTCCTATTGATTTATAAAGCTGTCCAAATGCTCAATCTTCTTTCTGTGGGAAGATGTAAAGTTAGAGGAGTTGGGTAGAAAAGGAATGAAAATGAAGGGGAATAAAGTAACAGCAAATGTTTCCAATTAAGATGAAGACCCAGCAGCCTGGTCTGTGTGTTTACAGTTGAGTTTCCTGGACGTCAAGTACTGGGCAGTGGTTGGGCCTGTGAGATTTCCCAGAGCCCTGCAAGGCGCAGCCCTCCGGAAGCAATCTCCATGCCAGCTGCCACAGAAGAGAGCTTCCATGGCTGGGAACTCTAGTGGAAAGAACTCTCAGCATCAAAGGCGCTGACACTTCAACTACGAAGAATGAGAAAGGTTACAGGCTTTCCATTTCCCTGGAAAAACCATGAAGTTGCTTTGCAGAAGAAATATGGCAGGGAAAAGCCAAGTTATCAAGTGGAGATTGTGACTCGGTTTGCAGGAAATAATTAAAACCTGGACAAGGGCATATTCTTGCCATAAAGGTAAACTCCCAGAGTTTATCATTCCCTACCTCCAGTTCTCGGATGATAACGTCCTTATTTTCTATCTCTTCCCCTCTAGAAAGTGGAAATAAAAAAAAAAGAGAGGTTAAATAAGTTAAGAAATCAAGCTCTGGAAAAAGTTGACTCTACACAAATTAGCCCTCCACTGAGCTGAAGAAACATGACATATAGAGTGCTCAAGCATGCTGCCCCACCCTCCAGGAAAGATGAGGTCACCTCAACAGCAGGGACCAAGCACTGGTACAAGGACAGAGCGAAATGTCTTCTCTGTTAACTGGCCAATAACTAAAATTCCCACTGTGATAGTTAATCTGTCAAACCAAATTATTAGTTTGCAGTGTGGCCCTTTCAAAGGCTCCCTTAAGGGCAAACCTATTTTTAGAATAATCCTAAATTATTAACCACTTTTTCACTATGGTAGCCAGTCTTTAATTAACTTTGGGATGAATATTCTTTCAAATGGTACACCAGTCATCCGTCTATTTGCTGTACTGAAGTAACTTGGAGTTGCTGTGATGCTGAACACTGTGCCATAGGTGTGTCAAACACCATAATGGTTACCCATCATGAACAGTGTTTGAGGAGTTCCCAGATTGATTCAGATTTGGAAGCAGGAGGTCACATCCACTTCCTAATCACATGCCTCTGGAAATTCTATGAACACAGAGAAATTATTTTAGTTATAGAACAGGGTTCAGGTCTTTTGTTCTTAGGGTCACTATGAGTCTTATTTGACTTGATGGCACTCAACTACTGCCAAGTAAGACTGTTGTTGTTGTTAAGTGCCATCGAGTCATAGGCATATAGTGACCCTATGAAGGAGAGTCCTCAACACTTGTGTGACTTTCATCCTTTCTCCAGGTTCATAGGGTTTCCGGAGGCAAGCTATATGGAAGTGGATGCCACTCCTGCTTCCAAGCTTGTTTTAATCAGGGAACTCCAGCCCACACTGTCCACATTGGGTAACCAACAGTTAACATATTTGACACATCAGTGTCACAGTGTTCAGTCTCACAGCAACCACAAGTTACCGCTGACCTAGAGGAATGTTTGAGCAAAAACAATGAAAGACAGGCCTGACTAGTAGTAAGCCTAGTGTTGTTATAATTTGGAAGAACATTTTTCTAAATTGTACAGCACTCTTCTGTCAATTTGCTCTACTGAGTTAATCTGGGGTTGCTGTGATGCTGAACAGTGTGCCACTGGGATGTAAAATGCCAAAACAGTTGCCCAAGGTGGACAGTGTTTGGTGGAGCTCCCAGTTTAAGACAGGTTTGGAAACAGGAGTGGCATCCACTTCCTATATCACATAGCTATGGAAACTCTATGAAATGGAGAAATGATGATAGTTATAGAAAGGCTTTTGTTCATAGAGTCACAATGAGCAGTATGTGACTTGATGGCAATTAACATAAACAACAACAAAATCTGTACCATCACTGTAAAAGCAATGCTTGGCAAAAAGTGGTGCTGGTTCCTTAGCAATAATCTAGGCAGCTGCACCACGCTGTTCAATCAGCCAGAGTGCAGAGGAAAAAATACAGTTCATTTCATGTCCTTAAAGAAACAATAAAAAGTGATTCATTTTCTTAAATCTCAATATCTTAATACCTATCTTTTAAAAACTATTATGTTATAAAAAGGGAAGCATTCACAGAGTACTTCTGTTGCAGTCTGAGATATGATGGTTAGGGCTAAGGGAAGGCATTTGTGTGAGCTTAAGTCAAGAGCTGAGCCGAGCTGACTGCCTTTTCACAGAGCACAAGGTGAGGCTGTGATTCAGACATGGGAATCTGACATTTTCTCAAAAGTTAACAAAGTGAGCTTGTCATCTGAAGGAAGATAACTGACAGTATTTGTTATCACTGATAAATTTTGAACTTTCAAGCAAAAATGTGAATTCTGGAAAACTTCTATACACCACTGTGAGCTGGACAGCTTTCAACAATTTATGGCCTTTTCTGGTAAGAATGGTAATGATGTTAACAAATGAAACCTTTTTTTAAAAAAAATATAGAATGAAATGTGTCAACTAACTCAGTGTCCACATAACTCAGTGAATCAGTTCTTTCCAAATGGTCAATGACATGTTTAGTATTTACAAAATCACCTTTGGTAAAAGAGGCATTCAGAGGACAAGACAAAGGATTTTTATATAGTCAAGTTAAAAACGTTCACTGAAATAATTTCAGATCCCATATTATAACTAACCTTTCAAAAACTACAACTTTAAAAAAACAAAACTACTAATACTTCATCTAGTGTTGATGCAATATAAAGTATATCCACAATAACCTGAGAAGGCTACTCACACTTTACCAACTACAAATTTGTGTGACGTTGAGTTTTCTTAATGGACTGCTAGGAAAACAAATAGATTTGTCCTGGAGAGGGTTAAACCGGGTGGCTCCTTGGAGGCAAGGATTCTGAGGCTCCGTCTAACTTACTTTGGACATGTAGTGAGGAGAGACCGGTCCTTGGAGAGGGACATCATGTTTGGGAGGGTGGAGGGACGGCGCAGGAGAGGAAGGCCCTCTATGAGGTGGATTGATTCAGTGACTGGGATAATTGGGATGGGAGTGTCAGAGACAGTGCGACTGGCACAGGACAGAGCGGAGTTTAGGGCTGTTGTACATAGGGTCGCTATGAGTTGCAGGCGACTCGACATAATAACAACAACAACAACAACTTCAAACAAAACACAAAACCAAAAACCCTGACTTATGACAGACTGAATACAGGAGCAGGTATCATCTACCTTATCAGTCTTCTATTATATCAGACATTAATGACAATTGCAAAAGCATAAATTAATATGACTCTTATATTTTAAAAAAATAGTTATTTTAAGAAAAGATTATTTGTTAATATTTAATGGATGTATTCCAAGTTAATATATTAATTTAGTTTCAAGCACTTAACTGTAACTTACAAGGTGAGTGGTTCAGAGCTACTCCTCAGCAGGAAGTCTGCAGCCATGAAGACTCATAGCCCATAGCCTTAGAAACCCCAAGGCAGTTCTATGTGGTTTCACTGGATCGTTACTAACTGGAACACACTCAACAGCACTATGTTTTCCTGTTTTATAGTATCTTTAATTTTTATATAACATTGACTGATATAATCTACAGCTTTTTTGGGTCCTCAACAATTTTGAGAGTTCAAAGGGGCCTCAGATGAGAGAAAAACTGAGAACGACACTGTGAAAGGGAACACTGGTGGCTTAGTGGTGAGGAACTGCGTTGCCAATTCCAAGTACACAGTTTCAACCCACCAGCTGCCCCATGAAAGAAAGATGGATGATCTACTCCAGTGGGATTTACTTTCTCCACAAACAGGCTGGAGGGTCACGTTGACTCCACAATATGCAAACAACTGCTCTAAAGAGGTGCAATCCTTGTTTAGAAACTTAGAATGGATAATAACTACAGCAAACATCGAGGTTAAGAGTCCTCCAAGGTGCTCTTTCAGCCCACCTCATCTTGTGGACTGGGCCAAGGTGGGGAAGGGGAGACCTGTGCACTAACCTGTGTTTGCAGAGGCTACTCTCCTCGTTTAAAAAAATTACCTGATGCTGTTGCCATATCTGATTTTGAATTTATACACACTGCATCCTGTATGAAAAAATCTTGTCTCTGGGAATGGGTAGGTGAAGGGTTTTAAGCTCATTGTTTCCAAACGGTGGCCTAAATAAAGTAGAAATATCAAACAATTACTGAAAAGGCAAAGGAAAGAGGGCACACACACCCCTCCAACTTGCCCCGCTCAATGTGTAGCTCTCTTCACAAGTAACACACACAGCTCGGCTCTCAGCACCACCCGGGGACATTTCCGCCACTAATCACGGGACTTTTCTCCTACATGCACAAGGAGGCTAAGTGGTGCGTTCAGCTGACCTCCATGCTTGAAGTCAGGACAACGAAGGTCATGTTTTGTCATTTACCTCATTACCTTATGCATATCACTTCTCTTCCATGAGCCTAATGATATCAGGATCTGCCTTGATGACTTACAAGGTGTTCATGAGGATTAAATAGATTGCCCGTATTTCTCTCACGTTTATTCCCCTCTTCATTTTCCCTAGATCTACTACTCAGTGTGAAGAAGGCTCAAATCACATGATGAAACAACCCGAAACTGCAGTGATAGGAAGTACAATTCGGAGGACCTCTCCTTTTAATTTTAGGTACAGTTAAAGAGATTTACATGACCCTCAACCACAGGCAATTCAGTGTCAGTCAAGACAGCCTTATCTTGCCTACCTCCCATCTCTTCCTCTCCACCACCTTCAAGTCTGTGCCCATGAGCCCCTATGTCCCTTGCATTTACCAGCTCTCCTGCTCCTATTTTAGAATTTCTGCCCACTTACTCTCGGAGAGAAACGCAAAGAAGAGGAGGAATGGAAAGGACGGATGGCATGCCCTTTCCCAAAAGGGCATCTATATCACACTCAGAGGTAAGACTCAATTATGCTGTGATTTTAAGTCACTGGGATTTTCCTAAGCCTCTGTCTGTCTTTTCCCATAGATGTTTAAACAATAAGAAATTAAAGAGGTCCAGGGTTTCAGAGGCCCAGAACCTCCTACACACACATTTGACTTCAGAGGCAGCTGAGATGAAGACAGAACAGGCACAAGAGTCCAAGTGTGACTCTGCTCTCTAATGTATCCTATTCAGTATCTCAGAATTTACATAATAACAATAACCACTACCAACAACTTTTTCTGCTGTCAGGCACCTTTCCAAAGTACTACAGAGCAATGATGTTAGTCTAGAGACCAAGGTGTGCCTGATCCAGGACATGGTCTTCTCAATTATTTGCTATGCATCTGAGAGCAATGGCTATTCTTTGGAGAGGGACACAATGCTCAGAAAGGTAAAGAGTTGGCAAAGGAGAAGACGACCCCTGACCAGGTGGACTGACACGGTGACTACAGCAATGGACTCTAATGTGTCAGGAAGTGTAAGGATGGCACAGGATAGGACAGGGTTCAGTTCTGTTATTCAAAGGGTCACTATGGTTCATACTTGACTTGATGGAACCTAACAGCTATGAGGCTAGAGAAGAGTATTAAACATTTCGTGGACTGCCAAGAGAATAAACAGGTCTGTCCTGAACAGGGTTAAACTAGGTTGTTCCTTGGAGGTAAGGATTTTGAAACTCTCTCACATACACTGGGCATGCTACCAGGAGGGACCAATCCTTGGAGAAGGACATTGTGTTTGGAAGGGTGAAAGGTCAGCACAGGAGAGGAAGACCGCAGATGAGATGGACAGACAATGACTGGGGCAATGGGGGCAGGTGTGTCAGAGACAGTGAGATTGGCTCAAATTAGGGCAGGGTCCAGAGTTATTGTTCCTAGGGTCACTATGACTCATAGTCGACTCGACGGCACACACCGACAATCTATCTGTCACTCTCATTGCCACTGAAATGGACACTGACTCATAGCTGACTCTCCAGTGGAATTTCACACTCTGTAAACTGCACGGGAGGCAAATGCCCATCTTTCTCCCAGAGGCACTGGTGGAGCTGAATCTGAATCAGCGGCACAACCCTGCAGACCCACCAGAGCGCCCGCATATATATACATATAAACTACTACTAAAACATAATGTCACTAGGGCTACAAAAGCCACGCTGGAAAAGAACTGTGTTCAAGGCTTTGAACCACTTCTTTCTCTCTTCTCTCTCTCCCCCAATATAGGTACACAGATAATTTTCTACTTGAGTGAAGGTTTACAAATTATATTGCTTTTTAATACATTCATAGACTTTCATTTTATAACATTAATTACCACTGATTAATATAGTTAATCCACTGCAGTATCTAATCAATCCCTTATGGGCTGCCTTTTCCTTGACCCAATTAATCTATTTTTTAATTTTTACTTTACTTTTCCTTCCCATCCCTATTAAAACTCCAAGCTTTCTTCTATTCATGTGTAAGCCTTTCATACATATATTTCTTATAACAAGCCTATGAAGTAAGTACTCTAAATGTGGCAGATGAGGAAACTGAGGTACCAAGAGATAAAGTAATTTAACCATAAGCAGGATTGTTGGAATTGAGATTCAAACTGAGGCAGCGTGGGTACAGATCTGATACTCTGCGCTACTTAATTTGAAACTTCCTAATAATGGGTGACTGGAATGCAAAAGTCGGGAACAAAGAAGAAGATTCAGTAGTTGGAAAACATGGACTCGGTGACAGAAATGGAGCTGGAGAGAGAATGATCGAATTTTGCACAATCAATGACTTATTCATAG